GGTTGTTATGAAGATGGCACTTCATAGTACAGGTGTGTCAGAGGAAGGAGAGGAAGGAGAGGAAGAGGAAAGAATGGAGAGGGCGAAACCAGTAACTTAGTTTAGTGCTGGTAGAGAACTTGGAGGAGTCCCCAGGGTTACTTCTAAGAAGAAATGTTACTAAAGTACTGCTGGAAATAGTAATTTTTGGATAAGTACAAACATTACTTATAAAAATAAAATTCTGGGCTGGCGCCGTGGCTCACTAGGCTAATCCTCCGCCTTGCGGCGCCGGCACACCGGGTTCTAGTTCTGGTTGGGGCGCCAAATTCTGTCCCGGTTGCCCCTCTTCCAGGCCAGCTCTCTGCTGTGGCCAGGGAGTGCAGTGGAGGATGGCCCAAGTACTTGGGCCCTGCACCCCATGGGAGACCAGGAGAAGCACCTGGCTCCTGCCATCAGATCAGCGCGGTGCACCGGCCGCAGTGGCCATTGGAGAGTGAACCAACGGCAAAAGGAAGACCTTTCTCTCTGTCTGTCTCTCTCATTGTCCACTCTGCCTGTCCAAAAAAAAAGACAAAAATAAAATTCTGATGACCACTTTACTATGTATGGATGTGTATTTTCTCTGTAAAAAGAGAATGATAGTACTTATCCAAGAGACTAATTTCATTGTAAGGACTAAAGAATAAGGACTCTGTTAAGTGCCTAGTAAGTAGCAGCAATTTCTCTTTTTTTTTTTTTCCCCCAGTGGTTCTCTGCTCATGAGTTGATGTGTGTTTTCTTCAGTCCATGAACTATACCAGTGAAATAGTGACATTTCCATTTTAGAGATAAAATCGGCTGGGAGAACTATTTGCAACACATATGACAAAGCTCATACAAATGTGTTAGTATTATGTAGGAAGCGTACCTTAGTATTTTTATGATAAAGATCCTTTCTGGTTCTCACAGGCTGGAATGACCTTTGCTCCTTATGGCCAGAAGTTGCCCGTTAATCACCACTTTCTCCATTGACAGAGTCCCAGGTTCATGGTATCCTTGATAGCTGCAGAGGCGTTACCCATCAGTAAGATGATTGCTCTAGCCCACAACAAAACAAAGGACATGAGCAAGAGATAAAAAATAAACTGTTCAACCTCAAAGGTACGCTAACTAAACAGTAAACATTTATGTGATACGGTATTAAAAAAGTGCTACCCCATGATGTAGAGCTGTGCTGGAGTAGGTAGGGTTGGTTGTGTGCCTATGGGCCCAGTGTTGTGTGGGGCAGGTTACCTGTGTTAGTAGATCCTTGCGTGTTTCCAGACATTTGAACTTGGACCTTATCCTTGGCCAATGTCCATCTCAGTCTTTCTTAGGTAATTGGAAATTTTATATGTCTTGAATACTTCGGGGGGATGTGTTAAAATTTATTGTTGTATAGTCATTAAAAATACCTGTATAAAAGAGCAGTCAATAACATACTACTTCTTTCAGATAAAACAGATTGCAAATAATGCCATACTACTCATTGGAGCAAAAACCATATGTATTTATGCATCTGTGTATTAATTTGTAAATCTATTCATTTCAAAGTAGAAAGAGTCAACCAAATGCTAAGTTTGCTTGGGACTTTTATTCTTTATTCTTACTTGACTTTTTCTAAACTCATAGTAAAGAACAAGCATTACTGGCCGGAACCGCGGCTCAATAGGCTAATCCTCCGCCTAGTGGCGCCGGCACACCGGGTTCTAGTCCTGGTCGGGGCGCCGGGTTCTGTCCCGGTTGCCCCTCTTCCAGGCCAGCTCTCTGCTATGGCCCGGGGTGCAGTGGAGGATGGCCCAAGTGCTTGGGCCCTGCACCCGCATGGGAGACCAGGAGAGGCACCTGGCTCCTGGCTTCTGATCAGCGTGGTGCGCCGGCTGCAGCGCACTGGCCGCGGCGGCCATTGGAGGGTGAACCAACGGCAAAGGAAGACCTTTCTCAAGCATTACTCTGAAGCAAGAAAAATTAACTATCTTTGTAGTGGTTTGGTGTAAATTATACTTGTGTAGGTGGACCAGCAATGGTGATAGTATGTTTGACCTGAGCCTGGACTTCGGCTCTGTTGATGTGACACATTTTATCTTTTTCTTTTTTGCCTAAGATTTATTCATTTGCAAGGCAGAGGGAGAGGAAAAAAGAAAAGAGGGAGGGAGGAAGACTTCTTCCATCCTCTGGGTCCCTCCTCAAATGGCTGCAACAGCCATAGTTGTGCCAGGCTGAAGCTGGGAGCCAGGAACTCCTTTGTGTCTTTCACGTAGGTGGGAGGAACGGAGGTCCTTAAGCCATCAGATTCTGCTTCCAAGACAGATTAGCAGGGAGCTGGACTGGAAGTGGAGTTGCCAGTGCTCCAGCCAAGGCTCTGAGATGGATACAGGTGTGCCAACTGGCGGCTTTCCCTCTGCACCACAGTGACCACCCCGCTGTCTGCTTTTTGTCTATTGAATAAGTGAGGATCATTTACCTAAATGAAGCCCAACGAGAATATAATTCAGCCATTCAGACGTGGGAGCATGGAGCTGGCGAATGGTCTGTGAGATTTCCAAAGGCCTGCTAGGCTGTTGGGAGGAGAGTGAGACTTGGGGCGGTGGGGTGGGGGATTCCGCTGATGACCTGCAGCAGTCAGGCTCTGTGTGTGTGTGGAGGGGAGAGGAGCGGAGCACGCTTGGGTGTCTGTGTTGGGCTCAGTCAGGTAAACAGCCCGGTTAGAACGTGACCAGCACAAACCTTTGGGCTTGATGAGCAGAGCTGTTGACAGGAAGTCTGCTGGTTTCCATTTGTTGTCTTCCTGTTTCCCTCAATGCCCTGCGGCCAGCATCCTGCGTCAGCCACGTTGACAGTTGTGGGCAGGGGCCACGGTATCCTGCTTCCTTGTAGGGAGGTCCAGTGACTCCCCTCGCTGCCCGTCCACAGCTTCCGCCATGCAGCTTACTCACCTGTCTCTGGGGTGTTCTCCTGCCTCTGCACCCACTGTACCTGCCCCCTGCATCGGTCTCCGCCGCCGCCTCTCCTGGCCCTTTGCTGTTCCCCAGGGCTTCACTCATCGTCCTTGAGGTCAGTGTCTCGTAACTGCCTGTGCCCACTGTGAGCATCCTCAGTGCTGCTTGGAGTTTGGTCACCAGATGGCACACGAGTCGGCAACAGGTTTGCACTAGCACAGAGTCGGACGTTGGGCCTTTGCCGAGCTCATCTCCTGGCCCCGTGGGCAGGCCACACGTTGTCTCCTGGACCCTGGAACAAGTTCCTTCCGTGAGCCTCTCCACCCTAAGAACTCTGATGGACTTAATAAGAATCTTACCTCAAGGCCTATGGCCCCATCCGTTTCAGAGCTGATCCCCCCAAAACCTCCTCATTTATAAGAGTTCTCACGTAAGCTTCACTGAAGTGCAAAGTCTTAAATACTTATAGCTAAGCTCAAAAATCATGAAGGAGGCGGGGGGGCCAGTGCTGTGGCATAGTGGGTAAAGCTGCCGCCTACAGTGGCAGGATCCCATATGGGCACCGTTCAAGTCTCGGCTGCTCTACTTGCCATCCAGCTCTCTGCTGTGTCCTGGGAAAGCAGTGGAAGATGGTCCAAGTCCTTGGGCCCCTGCATCCACATAGGAGACCCAGAGGAAGCTCCTGGCTTTGGATCGGCGCAGCTCCGGCCATAGTGGGGAGTGAGCCAATGGATAGAAGATTTCTTTCTCTCCCTCTCTCCCTCTCTCTCTCTCCCCCTCTCCTTCTCTCTCTCTGTAACTCTTTCAAATAAATGAATTAATTAAAAAAAAAAAACATGAAGGAGTAGGCAGTAATGGTAGGATGGTGTGTGAGTTGCTTGGGAGGTGGTCGTCGCCAGGGCCATGGGATGCAGCCCAGCTTTCTCAGAGGGGCTAGGAAAGACCTTGTCTGTGCAGGAATGGTAGGTGCATGGGCAGGCTGTCATTCATTACAGGGTGTGTTTTTTTGGAAAATGTGATCAGACTGATGTGACCAGCACAGAAAGTACTTACTGAAAAATGAAGGCAAATGAGTGAAAGTAGTAGTGGGTCACAGCAGACTGAAAATGAGCAGGAGTGTATACGTGGTGGAAGAGAAGAGCATTGCCATGAGGATTCTGGACACAGAACATTTGGCTTGGGAGTTCTAAGGCTGGGGAACATTGGAGCTGTGGGATTGTGTCCTGTGGGACGGGAATGTCGAATACTGTGGACAACTTGCTGTGTGATCCATGGGGCACCAGGACTCATCATGCCTGTGCAGCGACTGCAGGGGTAGACACTGCTCCCACTTGATCCACAGCAGAGTCCGACTCATGGCTAGACTAGGATTCAGGCCCAGAGAAATCTGACTGAGGATGGAGACCTCGAAGCATCAGTTCTTCACTTTACGGCCAAGAAAGCAGAGAGCCGGGAGACAGCGGCCCTGTCCATAGCCATGCAGATTGTGAGGTCCTGCAGGAGAGTGCACAGGTGGTGGTCATTGAAAGGCCAGGTCCGAGGCTGCTGTGAAGCTGAATTTGGGTGTAGCAGTGGTGTGGGAGAGGAGAAGATGGGGCAGACACACGCAGGCCCTTCCACGGAACATGGTAGTGGACTCATCGTGGAACGGGAGATGACGGACAAGGACTACTGGAAAACCATCTCAAGGTTTTAATGCTAGGGAGCTGAGATTTAAAGTTTTAAGAGAAAGGCAGTAGGGCCAGCGCTGTGGCTAAGTAGGTTAAGCCTCTGCTCGCGGTGCCAGCATCCCATGTGGGTGCCAGTTCTAGTCCTGGCTGCCCTCTTCCCATCCCGCTCTCTGCTTATGGCCTGGGAAAGCAGTGGAAGATGGCCTACGTGCTTGGACCCCCTGCACCCACACGGGAGACCCAGAAGAAGCTTCTGGCTCCTGGCTTCAGATCAGTTCAGCAGCAGCCATGTGGAAAGTGAACCCTTGGATGGAAGACCTTTTTCTCTCCCTCTCTCTCTCTCTCTGTCGTTCCCTCCCAGTTGCCTCAACCCAATTCTTTTTTCTTTCAGAATGGTTGTCACTGCCCTGGATGGACCGCTGGCCTCTTGAATTACTTCCATCTTCTGCCCACACCAGGAAATTATCCGTGGAGTTGAAATATGTTATAGTCTCTTAGAGCTTTGGATAATTAAGGTAACCTTAAAACGATCATGAGGTTGTCTTGTTTTTCTGCTTTAACTTTGATTTTTGAGACGTTAACCCATTCTCTTCCCTTCCCTTTTACACTCTCATAATCTATTCAGAGTGATTTTTAGCCTGCAATTGCGTAACAATGCAGGACAGTCTTCTAGGATGAAATATGAGCAGGCTGCTTGAAGAATGGAGGTGCAATGCGTTCCTCTTCAGATGAAATCAGTAAAAGGACCCGATTGCCATAAACATGATATGCATAGACTGGATTATGCTAGAATTGATGGATCAACAAGGGCAATTTGGGCTACTTGGAAAAAAGGGGAGATATACAAATATTAAAGAATTGCTGAATTTATTCAAGTTAAGAAAATCTAGAAAATGCAGGAAATTAAAAAAATGAGAGTGAGAGTGAACGTGCAGGTGCTATCCAATCCACTGGTTCGCTTCCCAAATGTCCACAACAGCCAGGAACTCAATCTTGGGCGCCTGTGTGATTGCAAAACTGAATTATTTGAACCTTGATTTTCGCTGTCCAGAATCTGTATTAGCTGAAAGCTGGGATTGGGAACCAGAGCCGACACTCAAACCCAAGCACTTAGGATGTGGGCATCTTAACTGCTAGTCTAAATGTCAGTCTCTAGAAAATACAGAGAATTTATAAACAAATCTATTTGACTTTAAGAAATAATCAGTGTTAAAATGTTCATCATCTTCCTAGTTGTCACTTGTGGGGTGTGTGTGTGTGTGTCTGTGTACACACACACATGTGTGTGCATGTGTGGTCACTGGGTAGATTTTTTGTAAATGAATAGCCTTTGTTGCATGCTTGGCACGTGCCAGGCTCTGTTCTAAGCACTTTAAATATACAGATCTTTTAATTCTCACAAGTCTGAAGTTGATAGTTTTATCCTCCGCTTTTTACACACAAGACAGTTGCTGTTCTGAGAAAGTCAGTGACTTGCCCATGCTCTCACAGCTGGTAAACCCACCCAGGACCTGGACTGCTGGTACCAAGGCCTAGACCACCTCACTCTTTTACATACTTAACAAAATGCTTATTCCCTCTGAGCATCATTTTCTTTGACTGTTTTAAGATTGATTGATTTGAAAAAGAGAGCAAGAGAGAGAGAGACCCCTTCACTGATTTACTTCCCAAATGGCTGCAGTGGCCAAGCTAAAGCCAGGAGCTCCATCCTAGTCTTGTGAGAGCCAGGGTTACAAGTACATGGATTATGCTAGACTGGATTATTATCTCCATCTTCCACTGCTTTCCCAGGCACATTAGCAGGAAACTGGACTGGAAGTGGAGTGGCCGGGACTCAAATCGGCACTAATATTGGTTGCCAGAGTCACAGGCAGTGGCTTAATCTCCTCTGCCATGAAGCCAGCTCCATGTTTTTTTAAGATCTGTGTGTTTCAGTACAGGTCCATGTTGCCTCAAATGCTAGCAGCCTTTGTAGTTTTCCTCTCTCTGTCTAGAACCCACTTAATCACTGAAGGAGGCCTGGGTGCAAACCCTGGCTGTGCTGTTCTGACTCAGGTTTTCTAACAGTAAATGGAAATAATAATAAAATCTTTATAGTTTTTTAGTACAGTGCCTGACTTGGTTCAGGCTCCATACCCATGGTCTCGTACTGTTAACTTCCAGAACTTGATGTTCATGCAGTAAAACAATCAAAGGTTATACTTGAGGTTTAAAAAGTTTTTTTATTATTCACTTGAGAGATAGACAAGAAGAAAGAACAAGAAAGAAAGAGAGAGCTCCCATCTGCTGATTGACTCCGCAAATGGCCACAGTAGCCCAGAGCTGACACTGGGAGCCGAGAACTCAATCCAGGTCTTCCACGTGGATAGCAGGGACCCAAATACTTGAGCCTCACCTGTTGCCACCCAGGGTGTGCGGTAGCAGGGAGCTGAATCAGGAGCAGGAGAGGCAGAACCTGAATGCCAGGCATTGTGCTACTGGATACAGGTGTCCCACCTGCAGCTTGACTGACAGGCCAAATGCCCGCCCCTTTAACTGTTTTGAGTGAAACAAACTGGTAATTCACAGTAGCCATGAGAGTGCCAACAGCATGGGGTTGTTCCTGTCCACACCAAGGCCACACTCCCTGCACACTCCCCGCCTGCGTTGGTGCTGAGTCGGGGAGGACGAGGAGCAGCATCAGGATAACTGGAGAGCTGCATAGCTGGCTGCACACTTTCACAGGCACCATCTTGCTGGATCCCAGCCACGTGCCTGCCAGGGAGGTGGGGCAGGTGTGCGTGAGCTCGTTTACGGTGGAGGAAGCTGACTTGGAGGATGAAGTAATATGTTCACGTAGTGTCCTGAGAGTGGCCCATGGCAAGGCTGCGGTGCACCCCAGGTCTCATTCTTGATGACTTCATGCTAAACTGGGGAGGTGCAGGTGTAGACACCCAGGCCTGGAGATCACTGAAGAAGCAACAAAAGGAGGCGGCACCTTGGAGAAGGTGGCAGGAGGGGGTAAGGAAAGTGGACATACTGAAAGGGAGGGACTCAGTGGGAGAGTTGGGAGGAGGAAGGCAGAGGCAGAGGGGGACATTGAGGGGCCAGGAGCTTGGTGCCCATGAGGCTGGCTGAGCAGGCTGGGGCGCAGGGCTTCATCTTGGGGATAGAGGGCGTTCCCTCTGAGTCTGGAGGAGAGGGGAGGGGTGGAGGCCAGGGACCCAGGTGCCTTGAGATGGAAAGGAACACTGAGAGGGCGGGAGACTTAGCTGCTGAATAGAGACAGAGGAAAGTGTGTGAGAGTGGGAGTGCTGAGGTTCGGGGTTTTAGATTGGAGAAAGGGGAACAGTTTAGAGAGTATCTGTCGTGGAACGTGGGCCAGAGAATTAGGAAAGGCTGCCAAAGCCCTCTGCTGGGCAGGGGCAGGATAATGACTGGACTCCAACTAGGCAGCTTTAGTGCACTTGACGACCCTGCTTTAGAACTGCTGGGGATCTGCTTGCCATGTGTTTGCAGCTGTCTCAGGCTGTTCATTCGTGAGCTCAGTGCAAGCAAGGTGCAGGTCAGTGTTAGAACAGATTCCTTCGTTGTCTGTGGGAAGGAGGGAGGGAAATGGTGCTGCACATTGTTTCCAGATCCCTGTCTGGGATACCTTTGGATCAGGAGTGAAGTCCTCCAGGGAGAGGTGTATCTGTTGTTTTTAGCTTAATTTGTTTATTAGAGAGGCAGAGGAAGAAAGAGAGGTCTTCCATCCTCTTGTTCATTCCCCAAATGGCCGCTGTGGCCAGAGCTGGACAGACAGAAAGCCAGGAGCCAGGAGCTGCTTCTGGGTGTCCCTCATGGGTGCACAGTCCCAAGGATTTGGACCATCTTCGAGTGCTTTCCCTGGGCGCATTAGTCGGGAGCTGGATTGGAAGTGGAGCAGCCAGGACTTGAACCGGTGCCCACAAGGGATTCTGACACTGCAGGCAGAGGCTCTCCCCAGTATACCACAGCTCCAGCCCCAGGAGGGTGTTGATACCTGCTTGTGGGAATCGGCGCTTTGTGCTGGTCAGGGAGGTGGTGGGAAGACGAGGGGTGACTTCTGAGACTTCTGAGACGGTGAGGTCAGGAGCTGGACTCTGCCAGTTGTTAGTCCATCTGCTGTCAAGATTTCTGCTGCAGCTGCGCTGAGCCTGTCCATGACTTTCCCTGCATCGTTTGACAGGTCTCCATTTTTGTTCTGTGATGTTCTAGATGGCTTTCACCTAGAGATGGTGCTTCTTAGTAAAAATATGTATCAACTGGAGAAATTAAAGATATATCAATAAATAAAACAGACCTCCTAAAAATGCATAGTTCTGCTGCCATTAAATAGCCACCCTTAGTTTTCTCCCAGGGGTTTTTCTACATAGATATGTGTCTAAATGAGATTTTTGCACATAAAACGCAACCTGCTTTTCTCAATTGTTAAATTGGAAGCCTCTGTGCATGTCAGGTCACCACTATGTCATTGTGAGTGGTTGATGATTGTAGGACTATACCGTATTCACCAAAACTCACCTTGGACTTGAAAATAGGTATCTTTCTATATAATTTTAAGACCATTCTTAATTGTGTCCTTAATATAAAGCCAGGAAAAAGGTTTTAAAATCTATTACCTGGAAGACCAGACCAGAGGTCTCCTCTTTCACACCCTAAATAACATTAAATAAAGGAATTTAAAAAAAAAAAAAAAGAACTTACCCAGTTTTATGAACTAATGAACGTTTTTCAAATACCTTTAATATTTCCTCCTTTTGTGGACTTTCCACGTGCTTTGTTGATCTCTCTAGAGGAGCCTTAGCTTCGTCTGTTACTGCCTTGTAAGAGTGTTCCTATCTTTAAGCATCTTTTATTCTGAAACCATTATGAATCTTTGTTACTTCTCTTGTGCTTGGAGGTGTCTGCAAGTACTCACTGTTAGGGGGTCAGGTCTGCCCGTGGCCCCATGTAGACTGATGAGGCAGCAGGAATGCCTGTGCCCTGCAGGCTGCCCCCCACATGGCACAGAGAAAGCTCTCTGGGGTGTGATCGCATCTGGCCAGCCACACCTCCGCCTGAGCCCATCAGGGCGTTCTCACCGCAGCCTGCAAGGCCCAGCTTGATCTGGCTGTGCCTGCACTCCAGCCCCACCTCCTCTCCCTCGCCCTTGAACACTGTGTTCCCCCGTCCCTGGCCGCCTCTCCATTCCAGGAACTTGCCAGCTCTGTCCTGCCCCTGGAATCCTGCAGGTGTGTTGCATACACACACTCATAGCCAGGTCTTGGGGCTGACCCCTCATTCACAGAGACCAGCTGCAGAGCAAGCAGGGTGGGCCCCGTGGCTCCCCTCCTCACTAGCCCCGTGTGCTTGGGCTCTGACCTCCTCCTCAGCAGAACAGTTGGAATCATGAGATAGTAATTTCTAGCTCGGATGCATTGGTAGGATTAAGGTGGCTTTGGGAATGTGTGAAGCCTCTGTTTTTGGATGGCAGCACCCAGTGTTTTGTCAGACTGTTAGGCACCAAGCCCCC